CAACTGCGTGAAACACACAGGCGTATCAAAATGCAACGGCGTGAAACACACAGGTGTATAAAAATACAACTGCGTGAAACACAGAGTAGTATGAAAATACAACTGCGTGAAATACACAGCAGTATGAAAATTCGGCTGCGTGAAACACACAAACTTCACGCATGCGTGGAGTGTATGGAGTGTACGGGAGGGATTCACGCAATGGTGCGAATAGTCACGGCCAATAAATTACCAATTAGTTGATCAAATTCACCAAATGATTTTCTCTGTGTCGGAATAAAGTGGTTGTTTTCGCAAACAGAGTGCGTAAAAGTGGATTTCGAGTGCATAAACGGAAGCTTTACGCACGCCGTGCGAAAAACAAGGGCTTTACGCACAATAAACTGTCCCGAAAAGTGATCTTTTCAGGCAAGTATTACAGAATAGTATATTTCATCACTTCCCAGAAAACAATTTTTGCCAGTGTCATCTAAAATTTAACAGGACATCGGCAATTTGTCGACATACTGTTTGCTGAGTTGTGCGTCAAGTGAAATTTTACGCACGCACCGTGATGTGTTTTACGGCCGCTCCGTTTTTACACATTGTGATGAAAAATAGGGTTCGACAATCGTGGGAAAGTTTTTTTTGACGCCGAAGGCGACTGCTACCTTCCCCTTATGGGTCCAACAACACTTTTCCGCACTCGTGCGGAAATACACTAGGGGAAGGTGGGGCAATATGGACACCAGATTTAAATAATGAGTTGAATTTGATCAAATCTACTGTTTCGAGTTCATTTAATGATTATAAAAACAAACACATTGTTATAAGACTGCGTCGTAGGAGTTGCAAAGTAAAGCAAAAATGGTGTAAAGTGGACATCTTGATTTCTTCCTCAACTTCTTATGTTTCAACAATATTATTCAATTTCAGAAACACTAGTCATGACCGCGATTTTCAAATTAAAAAAAAAACAAATTTTTTATTTTCGTCTCCGGGGGTGGTAAACCAAATTTTTCTTTGCTCATTTATCCTCCCCTCCCCCCATTGTTTCGTTTGTGAGTAGAAAAATAGACGAGTAGACACCTTACAAATTTCGCAAATGGACAAAAGGTCAGTTGTATACTGCGTGCAATTGTTCATTGAAAAAATAAATAATTTCAAAGTTATTTCAATAGTAAAACAGGAAATTCAAAGCTACTCTATATTTCAAACTTCACTGTAAAATTTAATAGAGTTAAAATTTATTTGTTAATATCTCTTCTAACTCGAATTTCTCCCTATAAAAAATACCCATACGATTCTGTTGAAAAATGCCTGTTGAAAATTGTTTTTACTTTTGAATAGGATCAACTTTTTCGGGTCTTTATTTTAGTCCATCCTATATGGATTTATCAGGTGTCCAGGTTGCCCAATGGATCAATCTTAATAAATTTAAATTTTGAAAAAAAAAATTTTTTTGTAAATTCTTTGAGTGTTTATTTTACCCCAGGTGTCCATATTACTCCACCCTCCCCTGCTTGTAAATCTGCAATAAATGTTATCTCATTTCAACGTCTGAAAAGGGTATTTCAAAATTACGCAAAATTTCCCGGATTCATCACAGCGAATTTCAAGAACGACGACAAATTCATTCATTTCGCCGCTTTGTTCAATGCAAAATAATAATAATGATAATAATAATCGCAATTACCTCGAGTCTTCAATAACGGTATAGAAGCCGGTAACGAGGATGCAGTGACCGCTGCAGCAGCGGCGTGATACGTCCCCCTCCTGCACCCCCCAATCACATGGGATCTCCCGGCAGGTTTATTAATCCAAAAATGCATCAGGTATCTCCAAACCCCCGTTGAAAATCACTCCCAACACGTTAAAATCCTCAAACCCCTTTGAACCAACCTTCACTTCAATCTCCTTTCGCTCCCGATGAATTAGTAGGCCTGGAGTCTGGAAGTTCTCCAGACCCATATCAAACGCTCATAAATAACCCCGAAGAATCCGTTACTTCTTATCATATTGCTCCCACCGAATGAACCATTGTTAACAATCCACTGACACTCTCCCCCAACTGCTGAAGTGCCCATTAATTTAAATCCCCGAATTACCCCCAAATTCCCCACAAAAATGCCCTCAAATTGATCAACATCGCGGAAATCTTCAGGACAGAAATCACCGATTTCTTGATTGAACAGACGAACGTTTGTTTGCACAGTTTTTCAATTATTTATCGTGCAGTTGTTGTGATAATTCCCGAGCGAAGTTCGTGAACAGGACGCAAAGTGGATGCAAGATCACTAGCATCGACTGCTCCTGCGCGCTGCAACTGCATCCAGACTCCCAGGAACTCGTGGAGACGTTCCCATGAATTTTTGAATTCATCGTCATTACGAATTTTCCACGCCAGATGGATCACAGCGTCGGCAATGAAGGGATTTTTGTGGACGGGTAATTTGGCGGGGGTAAGGATGTGCGAGTGGTATGAGAAATATACAGGGGTTTCACAGATGTCTCTCGAGCATTTTTCTCTTCATGACCTCATGATTCTGTTCCACTGCGTGGGATTCCCCTAATTGTATGGATCGAGAGCATGGGGCTATCCTCTTTTACTGTTTCATCACACGTGCGTAAAGTGAAATTTTACGCACGCTGCGCGTGCGCAAAATCTCACTTTGAATGTATTGTAATGAAATAGTATGTTCAAATACACTTATATATACACGTATACACGTATATTCACTTTGAATGTATTGTAATGAATAGTATATTCTATTGTGTTATTAGTGCGTAAAGTTACATTTTTTCATGCCCACGTACGGTTTTTATATTAAAAAAGGGAATTTATATAGCGTTCCACATCTTTGTGACGTTATAGGAAATGATTGGGTAGGATTTGGATGAGGCAGAAGGGGAACTGGGATTATTCTCAATATGAATAACCAGAAAATTTTTACTGAAAAAATGGATAGTCCAGACCGGGACATACTAGTGCGTAAAGTTCCACTTTTTCACACGCACGTGTAAGGAATTCTATTTTTTGTGGTACCTGTTGAGTTTACTGTTCGGAACGGTAGTGGGGATAGTGTGGCGATAATGTGGTGGTGTGGGGATAATGTGGTGGTTTTTCTGCACGAGTGCGTAAAGTGAATTGCGAGTGTGTAAAGCTCAGCTTTACGCAAGAGCATCAAACGTTGAGGATCAGACGTTGCAAAAAACCAAAGTTACAAGTCATTTCCCTCGTGAGAAAGGCAATCGCATTATTTATTGAGTTTTATTAGATTCTCCACTTTATTATTTGGAGCTTCGGAAAAGCCCAGTTGGACCTGAAATAAACTATTTTGTTTTGAAGAGTTCAAAAAGGCTACCAAAGACAATTGAATTAGTTTTATCATTCAAGAATGCCGAATGAAACAAGTTAGTGTCAAGACAAAAGTTGATGACACGATGAAGTCAATAGAGATCAATAAATAATTATCTTGACCCTTGCAAAAATTCATCCCTTGCACGGTATAACCCTTCCGAGGTGTGACCCTCGAGACGTATGATACTGGCAAGGTATGAACCTTGTGACTTTTATCATCCTCGCGAGGTATAATCTTCGCGAAGCCTCACGGTTTACGATAAAAGGTAACTTCGGCAGTTTTTTTACATTTTTTATGGTTATTACGTAAATTACGGGTTTTTTACAATCTCATGTAAAAAAAACTGCGGTTATCGACCGATGCCCAACCGTGGTTGGAAGAGATATTAATAAATAAACTTCAACTCTATTAAATTTTACATTGAAGTTTGAAATATAGAGTAGCTTTGGATTTCCTGTTTTACTAGGGGGGGATAGGGTAAAATGGACACTTTTGACTTTTTTTTAATATTCGTAGCTCAGAAACAGATTTATCAATTGAGCTCAGTCCAAGCTCATCACAAAGAGGAATCATTGTTCTTTCTATTGAAAAATAAAATTATTCCATTTCATGAACAATTCAACACGTCCTGAACATTTCAAAAAAAGTCAAAAGTGTCCATTTTATCCCACCCTCCCCTATGGAAATAATTTTGAAATTATTTATTTTTTCAACGAACAATTGCACGTACTAGATAACTGATCTTTTGTCCATTGGCGAAATTTGTAAGATGTCTACTTGTCTACTTTTCTACTCACAAACGAAACAATGGGGGGAGGGGAGAATAAATGAGCAAAGAAAAATTTGGTTTACCACCCCCCACGACAAAAATAAAAAATTAGTTTTTTTTTTCAATTTGAAAATCGCAGTCATGGCTATAGTGTTTCTGAAATTGAATAATATTGTTGAAACATAAGAAATGGAGGAAGAAATCAAGGTGTCCACTTTACCCCGTTTTTGCTTTACTTTGCAACTCCTACGACGCAGTCTTATGACAATGTGTTTGTTTTTATAATCGTTAAATGAACTCGGAACAGTAGATTTGATCAAATTCAAGCCATTATTTAAATCTGGTGTTCATATTGCCCCAATCTACCCTATATTCGAATTTTGGCGGTTGGGTTTCTGTATTTTTTTGTTCTCCATTGAATCTCTCGTCGACTCAATGAGAATTCAGCCTAACACTGTCGGTAAGGGCGACGACCACAACACTGCACGATACGGATTTGATTTATTTTTCAACATGGCGAACCACGACAAAGGACGCAGAAAGTGGGGAGGAATTTCACAAGGTTTCAATTTTATTCAAAGTGTTGATTGTGCGAACGTTTCCAATCTGATTTCATACATTACTTCATTTGTTGATTAATGAGGTTGAATTTTCGAAGGCTGATGCGTAAATTTTAGTGCCAAAAAATGTGTGATTCCACCGTATAACCTACAATGTTTCTGTTTAACCTTAAAAAGCAATCTCAATGTCGAGTCTTTGTCGTTGATTTGCAAAAATTCAACGCTCTCTTTATTTTTCCTAATTTTCGAAATAATTCTTCGAGATTTTGGAAAATTGTTGACGAATTCAGTTCGATAACCGAAATGTAAACAATGACATGGAGTGAAAAAATCGTTTTGGAGTTCAAAACACAAAAAAAATTGAATCATTGCATCAACAAGCGAAAGTGTTTGTGGATAAATTGCCGTTGCTAAAGTGTTCTGATTAACATATTTATCTCAGTCCGAATGATTGGAATCAGGAAAAAAAATTGATCAACTTTTCGGAGCGGAGTAATTAATTCATCACAGTGAAATGAAGAAAAATTTGTGAAGTGCTCCTGAAAATGAGTAACGATGTCACTAGACATTAGTGATAATATCCGCAGAAATCGGTTTTTGTGCAATCTTAACGAGAAATTTCAATGTCGAGTCTTTGTCGTTGATTTGTAAAAATTCAACGCTCTTTCTATTTCCTCAATTGTCGAAATAATTCTTCGAGGTTTTCGTGGATTTTTGACGAATTCTATCCGATAATCGAAATGTAAACAATGACATGGAGCGAAAAATTCATTTAGGAGTGAAACACACAAGTAAAAAAATCGAAACATTGGATCCGGATTTTGAATTAGGAATGAAATTTCAACAACATTTCGGAGCGGAATAATTGATTCTGATCACAGTGAAGTGAAGAACAATCTGTGAAATTGTCCTGGGAATGAGAAACGATGACACTAGAAATTAGTGATAATATCCGTAGGAATCGGTTTTTGTGCCATCTTAAAAAACAATCTCAATGTCGAGTCTTTGTCGTTGATTTGTAAAAATTCAACGCTCGTTTTATTTTCCCTAATTGTCGAAATAATTCCTCGAGGTTTTCGTGGATTTTTGACGAATTCTATCCGATAATCGAAATGTAAACAATGACATGGAGCGAAAAATTCATTTTGGAGTGAAACACACAAGTAAAAAAATCGAAACATTGGATCAGGATTTTGAATTAGGAATGAAATTTCAACAACATTTTGGAGCGGAATAATTAATTCTGATCACAGTGAAATGAAGAAAAATTTGTGAAGTGCTCCTGAAAATGAGTAACGATGTCACTAAAAATGAGTGATAATATCCGTAGGAATCGGTTTTTGTGCAATCTTAACGAGAAATTTCAGTGTCGAGTTTTTGTCGTTGATTTGTAAAAATTCAACGCTCTTTTGATTTTCCCTAATTGTCGAAATAATTCTTCGAGGTTTTTGTGGATTTTTTTACGAATTCTGTTCGATAATCGAAATGTAAACAATGACATAGAGCGAAAAATTCATTTTGGAGTGAAACACACAAGTAAAAAAATCGAAATATTGGATCCGGATTTTGAATTAGGAATAACATTTTAACAACAGTTCGAAGCGGAGAAATTAATTCTGATCACAGTGAAGTGAAGAAAATTGAGTGAAATTGTCTGAGAATGAGAAACGATGACACTAGAAATTAGTGATAATATCCGTAGGAATCGGTTTTTGTGCCATCTTAAAAAACAATCTCAATGTCGAGTCTTTGTCGTTGATTTGCAAAAATCCAACGCTCTTTCTATTTTCCTCAATTGTCGCAAGTAATACCACGAGAGCTTCAAAATTATCAAGCAATTCCCGATAGGTTCGTTGCAAACAAACGAAGGAGTCAACGTTTTCAGTTTAAAAAATCACGATTGCGAAGCACGAGTGATTTTTCCTAAAAAACTTGACGACTTCGTTTGTGTGCAGGGAACCTTGAGGCAATTACTCGATTAATTTTGAAGCTCGAGTAGTATTCCGGAGGGAATTTTCCGATTCAAATGTCGGCGAAAAGAATTGCACTCGACCACGGAATCTTTTGGTTTCCACAAATACAGGAAACATGAAAAATCACCAGTTGAATTATCAAAAATTATCAGCTGAATACCGTGTTGACTATATGAAATAACAGTCGAATAGTGCAATTCTATTGGCTGACATTTGGATGTGGAAAATTCTCGAAATAATTCCTCGAGGTTTTCGTGGAATTTTGACGAATTCTGTTCGATAATGGAAATGTAAACAATGACGTGGAGCTAAAAATTCGTTTTGGAGTTCGAAACACAATGCGATTGCTAAAGTGTTCTAATTAACCTATTTATTTCTCATTCCGAGTGAGTCGAACTACGTTTCGGAGCGGAAAAATCAATTATGATTACAATGTAATGAAGAAAAAAAACGTGGAAAATCACAGGTGTCAATATTGATTAACAAAATGATTTAGAATATGTCATTAACAAATCGGCAGCTGTAAAAATATTTAGAAATGCTTACCTCCACATTGAAGTACTTGTGAGTGCCAGAAAGAAAATACGCGGTCATAATTTCCTGGAAATTACGGATGAAAAATATAACACTGATTACGCAGAATTTCATTCAATTCAATTCTTATTATTGATTGAATTTCTTCCGTGAACAATGAATATTTTAAGATAATATTTCAGATTTCGTTTTGTCAGAGTGAGAATTCTTCGTTGAAACAATTTTCGATTTTGTTTGTTGACTAGATGAGCTCAATTTCACGTGAATTCGTGATATCACATTAATTTAATTACTTCTTTCTATTGGTCTATTTTTTCTTAGTAATTTGATACTGCTTGTCTCATGATGCAACAAATGAAATGATGACGATGCGGTCAAAAATAGGCAATTGCGTACCCTGAGAAAAAAAAATATTTTTGCCAAATATTCATTCATTTCAGAGAAGCATTGATTTAAAAAAAATAGCATTACCTCAATCGAGTCATTTCCAGGCGAGCCTGATTAGGTTTCAATTGTAATAATTATGTTGCTCTAGAAGATGACTATGTTGCACATGATATTGAATGTACTTCAATAATTATTCTAATAATTATTCATTTTTCCTAAATTTCGTATTGTCTAGAGGGAAGAATTTCGATTAATTTTTTAATGTTGATAATTATTGAATGAGTTCGTTCAAGGTCATAGCTAACATGATCATCTTCTACAGCAATATAATTAGAATAATTAATTAATTAATTCTTAAATCTAATGAGGATTGTTTGGAAATGACTGGAGTGGAGAAATACGGTATTGAAAAAATGAATATTTCTCTCAAGTAAATGGATATTTCGCAAAAATAATTTTTTTCTCAGTGTACAATTAAATCATTACCACTACTGACTTGGTATTGGAAACATTGAACTTGATTCTAAAAGTACTCAAAACCAAGATTTAAATTTTAAAGTCCCATCGTTGCTTGTAATAATTTCTTAATTTCTTGAAATGGAAAAATAAATTCCGGTTGATGAGACTTTATTAATATGAATCATGTCATGTATTTCCTTCCATTTAAAAAAATATTTCTCAGTTAAATTTTGTTGTTGCTCCATTTAGCACAGTTTAACTCAAAATTCATATTGAGGATTCGAAAAATTAAACAGATTTACTAATTGTCATATTATAAGATACAATTCAGTAGTGAAGTAAAACGGTTTAAGTCGGCTTATTTCTTAGTTGAGTTTTTGAAGAATATCTCCGAATCTAAAAGAGATGTTGAAATTTTCGTAATAACCTTTTTTCTAGAGCAAATTGAGTGCTACAAAAAAGGTCTAGCCAAAAATTTAGCTATCTCCCTTAGATTCCGAGATATTCACTAAAAACTGGCCAATAGACAAAATCGACTTAAGAGGAGACTACTATGACTTTTAAAAGTCGTGGGTTATTGGAGTGAGAATTTTCATACGTTGAAGATCGATTATATAGATAGGAAAACGAGTAATTAGTGCAAAAAATTTTTTTTATTGTTCGTTTGCCCGAAAATGCTTAAAATCCCAAAAACAGTCCAAAGCCTCCAATTTTTGAGCTACAAAGGATTTTTTTTTTTGAAAATTTTCGGAAAAATATGTGGAATAACAATTACGAGCTAGTTTTTTTTTAATTCGCCTCTTACATTGCTAAATTTGCTTTTTTTGTATTTTTTTACACAAATAGGGAATTTTTTTATATGAAAAAAACTGAAATCAGCTGTGTAGGAGTCGAATTAAAAAAAACTGGCTCGTAATTGTTGTTCCACACATTTTTCCGAAAATTTTGAAAAAAAAAATCATTTGTAGCTTAAAAATTGGAGGTCCTGGACTGTTTTTAACATTTTAAGCGTTTTCGGGCGAACAAACAATAAAAATTTTTAATATATAATCGACCTTCAACGTATGAAAAATCTCACTCCAATAACCCATGACTTTTAAAACTCATAGTAGTCTCCCCTTAAACCGTTTTACCACTTCGCTACTGAATTGAATCAATTGAAATGCTATAGTAAAGATATTCTGAATGAACTGAACGCTGTATAATGTATAGAGTGTTTTCTAATTTGCAGATAATTCAGACTCGAAAACCGACAAAGATCGATCAATGGGCGGTCGAGGGGGTGGACCCAGAGGGCCCCAGCTCCTGTACACACCGGGCAGTGGTCCCTTGAAAAAAACAGGATATCAGTGCGACTATTACCCGAACGATATGCCGATGTACCACCACGAGAGGCCAAAGCCCACCTCCGTCCAGGATCGACTGAAAGTCGCACAATACAACAACACAAATAGCAGCCAAAAGTCCCAAGATAATCTTGCTGACAAGCTGAACGATGTCCACATAAACTACAGGCAGAATAGCGACCAGGGCAAAGGGAATCACTATGGGGATCCAAGGAGGAGGAACAAGAAACCAGAACAGCAGTTGTACGTACCCAAGAAAGTGCAAGAGGCATTGGCTGAGCGGGATGTAGCTAATAGGTGAACTAAAGCTGTTTTATCCAAGTCCCTCATCGTATTTTTTCATTCATAAATATTTATTTATCATCTCACTGCTCAAGGGCATCCAAGTATCTTTTACAGTTTGGTACAGACAACACTATAGATTCAATCATTTTCAATTCATTAAATTTGTCAATTAAATTGAGTGAGAAAAATGTGAAAACAATCGTGAATATCACGTATGAAAAAATTCAATAGAAAACCTTAGCGAATTCGCTAGAAAATTCTAGGGAATTCTCGTTAAAATTCTATTTTTTTTGCGCCGATTCTATTAGATACTTGATAGGAAAAATCAATACATTTCGGTTTTTCTGTTTGAATCTTTCTCTTGAGATTTTTTCTATTAAAACTATTGGGCACAGGTTTTCCAAGTTTTTTTGCTATATTTTGTTTTTTTTTGCATTGCGGCATCCGAGTGAAAAAAAGTTGGAAAATTCATGTTCATTTATTCTTACAGAAAAAATTTCAAGATAATATTCATGTAGAAAAATCGCAATCTAATGACTTTTTCCTATCAAATATCTCGTAGAATCAGCAAACAAAACAAATGGAATTTTACCGAGAATTCCCTAGAATTTTAAAATAGCTCAATAGAATTTCTAGAGAATTCTAATAGAATTTTGTAGCGAATTTGATAAGTTTTTCTGTTAAATTTTTTCATACGTGAGTCAGCATTATTTATTTTCATTTTGCAGGGAAATTATTAATATAGAGAAATTTATTACGATTTCCACAATATGCGTTTTTCATCCATTTGAAAAGGAATAGACAAATTTATCATATTCTATTATGATGATATTTTTACATTTTACATTAATAATCTAGTCCAGGAATAATTTTCACTACTTTAGTAATCACCAATCAATTTAATCATTGAAATTACTGATTACTCCGTTAATCGGATATCTCTTTTCAATTCTGCTTTTTTCTTTCTTTTCAAGAAAAATATATTTGAAATCGTTGAAGCTCTCGGAAACTTCAATTTTTGAAGAATAAAATCATCGCAAAATTTAGGGAAACCTGGGGTTAAATGAGGCTCAAAAACCTAGAGGAAAAAAAAGTTGTGATTTTCAGGCACATGTTACTCATGTTCATATGTAATTTCATAAATTGCATAAAATGGATAAATTTCATAAATGTCCCTAGAAGGTGGGATACTGATACTGATTTTCAGAAATTTATCCCCAATTATTAAGTATTCGCATTTGTGAAATTCAGTCGGTGCTAAATTCTGAAGTTTAGCGATTTTGTTATCAATTTTCAAGGGCATCATCACTAATTTTCAGAGTAATTCAATGGATTTTCACGAACCAATCAATACTTTTTAGGAATTTTTCACCAAATTTCCGTGATCGACTCCTGAAACTGAGTGACATAAGCCTGCAAATAATGACTTTTTTCTCAGCGCAGAAGTTGAACATCAGAAATGTTCATCTGCAAAGGTAGAAAGACATTTCAATGAAAACGAAATGCTAAAAATACTTGGATATCCTTGAAATTCCAATATATGAGAAATGCAAAGTTAGTTGATGAGTTGATAGGGAAATTTTTTTTAGATTTTCTGAAAGAAGTTCAGTGTTTCGTTTTTCTTAATAGCAAAGAGCATGTTAAAGATAGTTCAATTATTGATTGACTTTCAGTAGAAAAGGCCTTCTAGTTGTCACTTTGTACTATCTGAAATATTGTTTCCTTTTAACTAGAAATTCGTAGAAATGAGACGAGTCATCCCGTTTTTTACAGCATTAGACTCACTCTTAATTTAATTTAAGGTATCATGATTATCGTTCTCAAAGCCATGTAAATATTCTGTCTATAATGAATTTATGTTGATCTTCTTCCAATTATCGCACTAACCTTGAAGTTATGATTAGTAAAATGCTTTACATTTTATTGGAGAAATATTGGTTGCAATTTAATTTCTTACATATTCTACTAATTTTCATTTATTTTTAATTTTTACAAAGGCTACAATTGAGATATCGACAGAATATTTATGGCAAATAGTTATAATCTGCATGTCAATTTTAATGAATTTTTCTTCACCATTTCTTTCCAATAATGAGTAGAAGATTCCAATATGAGAAAACTACATTTTCTAGATTTCTACATTGTAAAGATATTTTTTTCGTTTTTCTTCTGACTTTCTAATACCTTTTCTCATATCTCAATTGGAAACTGCTGTATCTAAGGATTTAATCTTCCACTGTAATTCTACTTTTTGCTTTTTTCCTCATCAATTTTTGACTTTTGGATTTCTAATTCCATTTTAGCTGATATTTTCACCGCCTAATCACTCACTCGAAATTTTCAAAATTCTATAAAACCTTGCAACTAACCAAGTTCATTTACATCACTGTTGTATCACAATTTTGATACATTGAGAGGAAAACGACAGTTTTCAAACAAGTCGTACTTGTATCAAAATTTCTCCTTCATGCCATTTTACGGTTCTCGGCTATTTTAACTTTCACAATGCAAAGATACGATTCTTTTGGCGCCGCTATTTGACATATATTTTCCGCGCCGTTTTTCCTCAAGAATACGGGAAAAATGAAGAAAAAAAAATTTCCTCTCAATCAGTTTTTAGGATATGAGTATTTCAATCTTTATTTTTTCTAAAAACGAATATTTTCAATTTCATTGGAATTCAATGGTCAAGGTTTTTCGTGTAAAAAGTCAAAGTAATGAAAAAAAAATTGGCAAATTCATGGGAGAGTATGCTGCATCATTTAGAATTTTTGCATTATTTTTTTAGATCTCAGTCTCAAGAAAAAAAATAATGAAATTTGGATGTTTTTGTAACCCTCTAGCTATAACCTTCGAGGTTACCCCACTCTCAATTAGGGAAATTTCCATGGCACCCAAAAAAATACTGAACTATTGAGGAAAAACTAGTGGGTGATAAATCAAATCTTTTTTGATAACACGTATAAGTTTCAGATTTTTTTCAGATGTCATAAGAAAGTTATTTGCACAAATGATTCGAAAAATTATGAGTTTCGGGGCAATTACACCTTCACGCGTAGGCGCGTGATTCGAATGTCAGTGAGCATCATGGGAAAGGTATGGGTTGGACCATGGAACTAAGAGACAGAAAACACTCGACAGGTTTACCAACTCGAGACGCACTTCAATGTTATTTCAATAATCAGAAAAACATCCAATAAAAATTATTTGACACCCGTAGGTGATGAGAAAAAAAACAATCAGTCTGATAAATAAAATCAATATTCAAAAAATGTTCAAATGCCCACTTAAATAGTTACTTGAAAATGCGAAAATTTCGTGCTCAGCGATTGAATCAGGTCTCGAGAACAATAAGACTCGCCTTCCGTTTCACCCCGCGGTGATCTACACACGAAACACCATAAATCGCGGCGCCAAAGGACCCGTAATCATGTCTTTCACTACATCCCCAAAAACCATGAATGTAATTTTTCAATTTCAGATCCCCAGTCCAGCAAAACTGGGATCGTCCCCGTGACCGCGACGACTGGGACACCCAGTCCTCTCGTTCCCCCCGCCCCGCCCGCCCCAATCGGCCCCCCGACCCCCCTCGCCCCTCCGATCACTCCCAAAAGCGTTTTTCATCCCGCCGTAACCGCAAACCCAGCGAAACCGACGACTCCTGGCGTCCCGAATCCCCCCGCTCCTATCAAAACCCCCAGAACCATCAAAACCACCACCGAAACGTCCGCCAGGGCTCCGAGCCGCCGACCTCCCCCCAACTCTCCCAAAACCACCAGAATCACCATGAGCCACCTAGAATCCGGGACACAAGAAGCGTTGAGCCTTCCTACGACAAGTTCCCGCGTAAACCGCCGCTAGGTCGCAAACACCTATCAAAAGTCTTCTCAAAACTCGAATCCCTTCCGCCTCGGCTCCAGCGCAAACATCTCGCCGAGAACGGGATTGACCTTCCGCCCCCCAACCCCGAGGACACATGGGACCCTTCGAAATCCACCATCTTCTACCCTCAAATGCATCATCAGCCCTACTACCCCCCTAGCGCTCCAACCGCTCCTCCGCCCCCCCAACAATGGTCGAACACCGTTCCAGTACGATCGCGAGGTCGCGGACGCCTGCATCAGGAAGACCTCGAGCCCCCGAACCCCCGACCGGGCACCCCAGACCAGTACTCAGCGCCAAGTTCGCGATCCCACACACCTAGCCAAGAACTAATGACGCGATCCTACGAGCGACGCGGCAGCAACAGCACGATGTACACGAGCATGGAATCCCTCTCGCGAATGGACGTGGGGCCCTCCTCCTACAGCAGTGATAATTATCCGCGAAGAGGGCCCTCGCCGAAGCCCAACGACAATTCAGAGCGTCAAAATTTGGGACAAGAGGCCCAGACCTCGTCAGCCAGCAAAGGTGAAGTGTTGAGTTCCCTTCCGGACATGCCTTTGGGGACTTTCGATTGGTCCGAGGAAGTGGAGCTCTCGGAGAGACTCGAGAACGAGCGCTTGAGCCGTAGTTCCTCGATATCGAGCTTCCGCGAAAACGCGAGTGTCTCGGGACACAGCTCCAACGCTCCGGTCGTCAGAAATCGTTCGCAGAAGAAGAAAAGACGCGAGCGGAGGAGGAGTCGAGGGGACGGGAGCAACAGCAGGGACAAGGCACGGGAGAGCAGTCACGAGAGAACCAAGAACCAGCAGAATCGCGAAAACGATAACTGCAATAACAACCAGAACAATGGGGCGCGAAGGTACGAGAGAAGAGGTGGCAATCGAAATATTATGAATCGCAGTCGCGAGAACAGTAAAGACCGGGGATTCACGAGAATAAGGAACGAGAACATCGAGGAAAATTGGCGAACGGGGAAGAGGATATCTGTCTGCGAATCGGATGACGGCAAGCGGCCGCCACTGAACACTAATCTCAATGCGGGAACGGGGAATCCCCCGGGGAGAGTCGAGGGACAGACGCCGGGGGTTTTGGTACTGCCGGAGCAGATGGCGACGCCATCGGCTGCATCCAATAGGGTCGACAACAGGGGGCAGGGCTCGGCGAACAAGAAAACTTTGTTCGATCCTAATAATCCGAACAAGCCGATTGAAATCGTTCCGTCTCCGGGGTCTCGGGCTTCGCTGGGCGATCCCTCGGGCCAATTCCCTGGGAATCAACAGGGCTCAGGGTCTTACGTGCCCTCGCACTTTCAACAGAGTCTTCAGGTAGATGGCGCTCCGCCGACGTACATAGCGGATCAGCTGACGAATTCCGTTCCTTCTTGGTATGATCCGTGCTCGGAGAGTCTTAGGTCGGCGAAAAATCCGTGTTTACTGATGGGAATTGAGACGATGGACCGAGAGCTCCATCGGCTTTTGAGCTCTGGGGGGTTGACCACGAATTGGGACAGGGTTGCGTTCCTCAGGCACTCGCTGCAGCAGAGTCTACAGACTCTTTTGGAAACTGATATGAAGTTCTGCCAGACTGAGAATGTAGAGCAGCACTTCTGGAAAATTTTGTTTTACAATATCATTGAGATGTTGAGGAAGATTGCGCCGAAGGAGGGGCCTGCGGGGAGGGAGCTGTGCAAGAGAATTATGCTGAAGATTATTGATGATGGAACAGTTTATTTTGAAAATTTGTTGGTGGTTTTGGAGACGACTTATAAGTTCAAGTTGGACGCTTTCCTGACGTCCTCGGAACCACCGAAGGGGCTGGGCTTTGTGGGGCTAGCGTTGATCAGTGCGCAGAAGATATTTCTGTTCTTGGGGGATTTGGCGAGGTATAAGGAGCAGGCTAATGAAACTACTAATTATGGGAAGTCCAGGCGGTGGTATCTCAAGGCTCAGCAGATCAATCCGAAGAATGGGCGGCCGTACAATCAGTTGGCGCTGCTGGCGCATTATGCGGTGAGTAGAAACTTTATGATTAGGGATGTAACGGACAAAGTTGACCGGTCAATTTCCGTCATTTTACACTTAAATTACGCGTTGCTGACCGAAGGCCAATTACTGACCATTTTTGGTCCGAAAAAAATGACAGAATTTCGCGTCACAAAAATGACGTAAGAAAATCTTGACAGTTATTTTACAACTAGATAGAGCGCGACAAATATCGTTCATCATGTTACCGTTTCTTCGAAATTCGGCCCCTGGGCTGAGCCTTGGACCCAGAGGTCTCCGAATTCCAGTGGGAGATAGCTTGCTTTAGGCACCGTACACTCAGAGAAAAACAAACACATTGTCAAAGAAGTCTTGTTTGGGCCAACAAAATCGCTAGTTGAAAGTTGCCAAAAAGAATTTGTTTCAAATTTGATAGTCTCAAACATGAATAATTGTTCTGCTTTCGACAGCAACGAAATATTTGGCTCAAGAGGCGGATAATTTACAACAGACGGTGCCTTTTCAGGATGAAAATTTCTCATACAGAGGAAAATTTATCAACAAATATTTTATCCCCAAGTTACAAAATTGCTATCATATCATTATTATTGTTTCATTTAACGGTTCATTTCTTGTCTGTGATTATTAGACAGCCGAAACGAAAAACTACTATTCCTTGTTCCGCATGAAACAAAGATTTTCCGGGAGCACAATACGTATGGGAGTATCGAATAACTAAGGAGTAGTGCTAGAAATGACATTTCTTGCGTGTACAGGGAATGCAATTTTTTTTGAACTACTTAATTATTGTGGCGACAAAAATTTTTCATTCCGGCGTACTCGCTGCATATTTGGCACAAAAAATAATTTTTTGATAATTTTCAAAAAACTATTTTCTTGGCACAAGTAAGACTTGTTTGAGAACATTGTTGTTCCCCTCTCAGTGTATTTATGATATAGGGTAAACAGGTCAATTTCTGTTAACAAAATTTTTTTTTTGCTTGAATTGCGTCAATTAGTCATTTGTCGATTATTTGGTTTTGCCCCGCTCTCCCCTATTCGTATTGGAAATACTTTGCAGACTCTGCCTTCACTATTGAACTCTTTGTGTCTGGAAATGCAAGTATCGTTAATTTCTTTTTCAGAGACGGAAATTAGATGCCGTTTACTACTACATGCGTTCGTTAATGGCATCAAATCCCCTCCATTCAGCGCGTGAAAGTCTCATCGCGTTGTTTGATGAAAATAGGAAAAAGGTAAGATTTTAGAAAATTCAAAGATCTATTAATTTACGAAGAAAAACTGAAAGAAAAACAATTTTTCTTATCAAGTGTTATGAAATATTAATACAAATTTATGAATTTTCTAACGCTGCCAGTATCTGCATTATGTAAGTAATTCAGTAAAAAAAAATATTGAGTGAATGCTAGATTGTCAAAAGAATCATTCATTTCATGAGTCGAAGATGTAGAGAAATGCAGGCAATCGCATTAATTTTCATGTTGATGGTTAGAGATTAATTCGTCTCATGGAGACACGTTAAAAGAGCTCGCATGAATTAGTTAATTGATCATTTTGATTTTTTAATGTAGTACGAGTCTACGGAACGTAAGCGTAAGGAAGAGCGTGAGTGGAAGGAACGTGCTCGTATGAAGGAGAAAGAGGGTGCGAATAATTTGAGTGGTGGGTTGAGACGTGAGACTTGGATTCATCCTGGTGGTAGGCGAATGAGGAGGACGACATCAGCAGCTAGTGCTGCGGAGGCGAAATTGGCTCAGAGTGATCTAGAGGAACTGGCGCAATTAAGCAGTGTTGAGGTAATTTGTTAATTTGTTATGAAACTGTTGGGGGACGAATGGAAAGGCACAAAGACAATCGAAACGGTCGTCTTTTGTTCGTGAACTTTGTGAATAGTCTTTACTGTTAGAAATTTTTTATTAGAATTTCCGGTACACATCAGGAGAATTTTCATCGCATTATAGTTCCATTGAAATTTCGAGCAATTTTATGATTGATAATTCAAAATTTTATGGAAAAATTAACAGACACTGTGAGTTTCAATTCAATTGTTTCATGAAAATTGGTAGAAATCGGGATAATTCAAGTGAATATGTTCTTGAACTTTCAATTAATTGTAATTTAGTACTGAATATTCATGTGGTCATTGAAAATTCAAGGATGTTGCGGAATTCTCGTCTTTATATTGCTTAAAAATTTGGAATTTCATGATTTTTGCTTCTGAATGGAAGCTTTGTAATCGGTCGATTTTTCGATTCTCTAATTTTGCTTCGAAATGACTTAAAATGTCTAAGATGTCGAGATATGCTGTTTTTAGAGCTTGTCTGTGTGCACGTCCGTACGTGCGTACAAAATTATGGAATTTTTAAAATAAATTTTAACAAAACAAGTAGAAAATTGCTCCTGTACTGCGTATAGTATAGTTAATTTTGTTAATAAATTAGCAATATGCTTCCGAATGGTAATTTTGCTTATTTTTTTCCATTGTATAATATTCATAGCCTATTTTATTTTCTTGAATTGAATTAATTTCTTTCCAACTAATTGTTTTAGATTTTCCACTTAAGGCCCGGGTGTACTATCTTTCGAACGTTATCTCGATGTTTTTTTTCATCTTTCGTCATCTGAAATCGTCAATTGAGTCCTGCATCATGCAGAAGTTTTGAAAAATTATTAATGAATAATAAAAAAAAGTAGAAGAAATTCTTAATTTTTTCAAAGGACATTTTTAATTTATATTCAGAATAAGTTGTGTAACAAGAAATTGAAAAATGTATCTGATTTACGGTGACAAATGGCGGCCTGTCACCCAATATCATGCAGGGGGAAGACTGATTTCGTAAATCTTTTCCCACACTGCACAAAGACATTTATTACGGAAAAGGCTCTTTGAAAAAAGTTGTAATATCTTGGAGAATTTTTTAATCACACGTTCATCACATAGAAATGGCAGATAACTACATACCACTGTTTTGAAAATTGAGATACCTAGCTGTCACTTCCCATGAGGAGTTAGTGTTTTGTTATCCACCATGGAAAATGACAGCTAATAGGTAATTTGCCACAGCGAATCAGATATTTGTAATTTCCACTTTTTTCAACTCATTCTGAATCTCAATTAAAAACGCTCTTTGAAAAAGTTCCGAATTTTTTATATTTTTTTAATCATTCTATCATAATTTTTGGGAATTTCTACATGATGTACCACTCAATTGACAATTTTGGTTTACGAAAGATAAAAAAAATCCAGATAACATTCGAAAAATAGTACACCCGGGCCTTAATACAAAGAACGATTCTTTCCCTTTGTGGCGAGCCTAAACAGAGCTCAATTGCTAAATTCGTTTCTGAGTTATGAATCATTTAAAAAAGTCTAAAGTGTCCATGTTACCCCACCCTCCCCTATTAGAAATTATAAAGAAGTTCACAATGATAAGTAATAATGATGAAGAAAAAAATGAAAGCAAATCAATTTCTTGAAGTATGTGAATCCTCAGTAATACATTTGTATTAATTTTTTTTTCTTCAGGTTAATAAGCGTTTCGTTACGTCTTACCTTCACGTCCACGGCAAGCTGATCACAAAAATCGGGTGAGTGTTACTTTTTTTTTTTAAAGAGAAAAAACAAAACACTCGTTTGTTTTTTCTCTTTTCCCTCTTAACTCATCTCCGGTGATAATTATTGCGTAGGCAGGTGCAAATAGGTATAGGTTTTAAGGGTAAAGTAGACGCGAAAAGTCTTGTGAGTTTAATAGTTATTCTGGGAAATTTCCAAGGCAAAAGGGGAGAAGAGTCTCGCCACAGGGAAAACAAGGAGAGAAAGAAAGGAGCATCGAAAAAAATGGCCAACAATAATTTTATGGTTCACAGGTGTTGAGTGTCAGCAGTAAATTTGAAGGAATGGTAGGAATTTCCATTTTTTTTTCTAGTCGTTAGACGATGTTTAGATGACGTCTACGTCATCGTAGAGTCCAATGAATGAACATGTGTACGCGTGCCAGTAGTAATGGCTCTGGACATACGAGGGAACGACCATAACTTCATTCACGCGTGAGATTGTATATTTCGCATGAAATGTTCCTGGAAGATTTGCAAAACAACAACAGTTTTGGAATGATTTTGAATAATGACAGGCGGTGGGGCAGGTAGTTTATGGGTGGGGTGTGGGTAATTTAATCGTCTGAGCTGGTCATTAATATCAGAGCATCTTAGAGTTTCCAATGTTCGCCCAAGTGGCGCCTGAAACTTCGAACACCAGTGAATAATTACTCTGGGAGACTTAAAAGCTGTCTTTTATGGAAAATCAATTCAAACTTTTTCAGCGGTTATTTGGGGATTTTATGACATCGTAAATAGAGTATTTGCGGTTGTGTTTTCGGTGAAACGTCAAGTAGATGATTTTTAAACAAATGGGAAGTTGCTCTTGTATTGCATATAGTATAGTTATTTTTGGTAATCCATTAGCAATATGCTTCTAAATGGTTATTTTGCATCATTTCGTTCGGTCACGTAAAATTCATTGTTTATTTAATTTCATTAAATTGAATAAGATTTCTTTTCAACTAATTTTGTCTAATTTTGTCATATTTTCAACTTATTTGAATGTTATCATCATCATTATTTTTATTATCCCTTTCTTTTATACAACCGATTGTCTTTTTTACGGTTCTATCTCTCCCCTCAGCCCTTCGATAAAATTTCAATAAAAAAAATTTATTTATACATGCTTGAATGAATTTGAAACATCACATTTGAAGAAACTATCAGAAAGCTCACTTTCAGGGAAATTCATGAAAAATTCGAAATTTTCAACAATCATCATAAAAATTAAATCAACCAATATAGCTATCGTAATCATCTTTTAACTTCGACTTAATGACATTAAAACAAACATTTTAAGCGATGAATTCATTTGAAGCATGATATTCAAAGATATCCCCAGAATTCTGATTTTCAAAAAATACAAAATTTTTGCAAATTTTCAAATAAATCAAAATAACGGTTATTGCTATCGCCTTCATCTTTGAGATTAGTCAAAAGGACGTCCAAACAATTTTTGAAGCCACAATTCAATCAATTCAGAACATTTTTTTTAGTTATCGTGGACAACGGATTTTCGAAAAAAATCTAAAATTAAAAATACTAATCGATGAATTAAAATTTAATAAATTGTGACTGATAGGCGTCAACAATACCTGCACGCGATCAAAAGGACATCCGAACAAATTTTTTAAGCCATCATTCAATCAATTCAGAACATTTTTTTTAGTTATCGTGGGACAACCGATTTTCAAAAAAAAATCGAAAATTAAAAAAAATAGTTCATGAATTAAATTTTAATTAATGGCGATTGATAGGGTTCAACAATAGCGACATTTGAAGAAGAAAAAGATTCAATTCCATCCATTCATTAGTGAACAATTGAAGAAAAACGTTGTTACATACGGATGAAGTCTAAAAATTGCATTTTCGAACTCTGTGGTTCATACTGGGTCGATATAACACAAAAAATCGAAAACTTAAATTTGAACGATTACACTGTTAAAAATTTTCGTCTGAATTTTCCGTGCCAAATCCTAGAAATTTTTATCGTGTTTAATTTCCACTGAAATTTCAGGAAATATTGTCATTAAAAAATCAAACATTCCATTGGTTTCTGTTCGAATGATCTGAAAATCAATAAAATACTTGAATTTTCAGTTAAATTATTCTGTGAAAATTCAGGAAAATTTAGGGAAAAATTGAAAATTCATGTCATTTTGTTTCTGAATATTCATGTTCCATTGAAAATTCAATGGAGTTCTGAAAATTCCGTCTCACTCTCACTGAAAACTCATGAATTTCTTTGAATTCTACTTAAATTTGGAAATTTCATAACCATTTTTCCTCTAAATGCGATTCAATATCACTCTTATGAGAATTACCATCATATTTTCTAAGAAATTTCAAAAAATTTCCAACAGTGTACAAAGATTTTTATATTTAAGATATATTTTTATACGATTTTTATATAGATTTCGTCATATTTTTGCTTCTAAATGGAAGCATTGTATTCGTCAACTACAAAATTTCCAATTTTTAGTGTCAGAACAACTATTTTAGTACTTTTACTTCGAAATTAGAAATATGTAATATCAAGGCAATAGAGTGTACTCCAGACATATTATTTCTTCATTTTCAATGGAATTCATCACAAGAAGTTTTTAACTAGTCATCGTTCGAAGGCCATCAGTCTGGTATTTATAGTCTATTTACAAAGTATTCATTATAGAATGAACAAGACAATAGAAAAAAGCAATATTTGCTCAAATACTAGAGTCGTATAATAGAATAGAAAAAGTAATAAGCTGTTTCACACTGTTATGGATGAGATGAGAGTGAAATTCAGACATAATTTGACACAAATAATGGAATAAAAAAAGAAAAAAACTTCAGGAAATAATCCTATTGTTGAAATAAAATTTGCTACTAAAATACCTTCTGCGAATAGCCATCAAATTGTTTCCTGATTGTAGATAATTTTCAACAAGCCATCTCCAAAAAACTACAGAATGGCTATTAAATTCCTTGTGTGGGTTTAACTATTGGCTACGAGCCCTCTTGATTGTTTTTCCTCTCCTATTCTTCACGTGTTGCAACCGTTAACTTCGCCATTCTCTCTCTTCAACTCTCCATCCTCAATTTGTACTTCATTTTCTTAGGAACGAAGTATCAATGACCTGACATGAAGTGAAAAGTCCAAGAATAATATGTGTTTAACGGTTTCTAGTCCTCAAGAGCCGTTAAAATTGCATAGAAATTCGTTTTCTTGAAACCCAGATTTTTAGTTTTTTTGCTTCCGTATAGAAGCATTGTATTCGCCAAGTCCGAAATTTTCAATTTTTTTTGTCAGAATAACTAATTTTGGTCTCGGGAGTTTGCAATTAAAAAAACTAGTCTATCAATTGAATTTTAATCAATGGCGATGAGAAAAGATTCACTTTCATTCATTCATTAGCAAACAATTGAAGAAAAACTTTATTACATATACACACGCGTACGGACGAAGTCTAACAATTGCATTTTTGGAGTCTTTGGATCATACTGGCTCGATATAATCCAAACAATCCAATACTTAAGAATGTTTAACATATCAAGTGGACAACTCAGTTGAAAATAAAAATAAAATTGACTAAATAAATCATTCATGTTACAAATTATTTCTCTTATCAAATTAGAAGTGTTATGGCGTACTTTTCCGGTCTCAAAAACAATAATTAAAGAAAATGTTCATAAATAATGGAGGACTTGTGACTGCGGTGGTAACAGTTGAATTTTGATCGGGCAACATCGCACGCTTCGACTAGTAGTGGGGTTGTAACAGTGAGATGAATATTTGTGTGTTATACGTGTCCATATGCTTCTAGCACTGAATTATCGTCACCGACTTTACCCACCTCGATCAGCTGTTGTGCGGTGTTGTCGCGTTGCTCGACTCGTAATGGCGGTCAAATTTTTTTTAGAGCAATTCGAAAATCAATCGAAGATATCACGCCTATATGGCCCGATCCCCTACTTGTTCTCGCCGGCGATAGATTCTCCATAGTCTAAAGTAAATGGTTTGTGGTTTTTTTTTTCAATATCTTGAGTGTCTAACCCATGCAACATCTCGATCGAAGTTTACACGGTCACGTTTCTTCCCTAAACGTAATGTTACAAGAAGTGATTTTCAGAAATTAATTTCTCACTAGGATGCCCCGATGGAAGGATTAAGATTATTACTAACGTGTGGCTCAAATATGAATCTGGCATGTGAGACAATATCAAAATGATGATGAGTAATGTGGGTTTTGGCTAAACATCCTTGAATTTGAACGATTACAAAGCTTTCATTCGGAAGCAACAGTTGTTAACGAGTGTGAGAGTTGCACACATGCGCGAAGGGTGTAAAAAAGTGCCCTTTTTTCACTTGAATCATTTATGATGCAAAGTACAAGCTTTTATTTTAAGGGGCTTTGTGTGTAGATCACTGGGGGAGTTTGGTTGAGCACGAAATTTTCCAATTTTTAAGTACTTATTCATGTGTTCATTTGAACGTTTTTTGAATATTTATATTATCCCTTGGGCTATTCTACTCGGTCAACCTTAGATGTTTTTTAAGGCATAAATTACTTGGAAAGCGGGATGCTGTATGCTATCCATCGACTTTCCGGACCTCTAAATGAGGGAAATAATTGAATAATTATCAATGCACAAATTAAAAAATTCGGAGGCACACGGGCTCGAACACAAGTGGGATATGATCCCACATCTTCTGTTTGCCGGACAGGTGCTCTGCCGGCAAACAATTTTTTTAAATATTGATTTTATTATTATTTTTATTATTATTATTTATTAGTATTTTTTTAATTATTGAAATAATATTAAAATGCGTCTCGAGTTGGTAAACCTGTCGACTGTTTTCTCTCTCTCTCCCAGTTCCATGGTCCAACCAATACCTTTCCCATGATGCTCACTGACGTTCGAATCACGCGTCTGCGCGTGAACGCGCAATTGCCCCGAAACTCATAATTTTCCGAATCATTTGTTCAATAACTTTCCTATGAAATCCG